AAAACTAATTGCTTCTTTGCACTGAAAGCTTCCTAACTCTTCCCTTATTGTTTATAAAATACACCCTATGTCCTATTGATCCACATGGAGAAGCTTCCCTAAGTGCTCTAACGCAAGGTCCCGCCCAAGAAGCCTGGCCTTATTTTCAGGGTCCCCATGCTTATGTCTGTCTGGCTGGAGAAGGCCATAGGGAGAGTTCTGGAGCACAGACACCATATGGAGAAGAGGACCCCACAGAGGAGTATGGAAACACCACATGTTCAGGAAGAGTCTCTTTTGTCCATTTTGTATGTTTCAGTTGCCAGGGACTTGTGGTGCCATTCCATGAGAGGCCCAAGAGCAGCAGAAGCACCCAGCTAGACTCAGTGGTTTACCACATAGAAATGGGTAACAGCAGCTTTACAGCTAACTGCCATGACCAAATATATTGTTTATAAGTGACTGTGATGCATTGAATTATGGCCTCTTCCTAGAAAAATACATTGAAGACAGAATCCCTGGGTGCTATGTTGAGGACGTAAGTGTTCCTCCAGTCTGCACACATGAATCTGAAGGTAACAATATTGAGAGACTGGCCTGTAGCTCCATCCTTGTGACAGCATTACTGCCTTATGAAAAGGCCTGATGAGCCTGTCCTCCTGTCCTTCTGACTTCTTATCTTCTCTGACCTGTGAAAACCTGCAAATGGTACCATCTGAGGAACTGTCTGTGATCCACTCCAAACCTTCAGGCACTTGGATCTTGGATGCCACAGAACCACAAGCTATGCATCTCTAGTATTTTTAATTTAATTGAGCTATATGAGTATATTGCCTACATGCATATAAGTGTGCCCACGTTGTGCAATGCCCGGGGAGGTCAGAAGAGGGAGTTGGATCCCCTGGAACTGGAGTTACGGACAGTTGTTAGTTGACATGTGAGTGCTGGGAATAGAACCTGGATCATCTGCAAGAGCAGTCAGTGCTCTTAACCACTGAGCCATCTCTCAAGTCCCACATTTCTAGTATTTATAAATTAACCACTTTGGTATTTTGCCATAGCAACAGAAATGGGTTATGATGGCCACTTTCAGAACATGACCTTATTTGGAAGCAGAGCTGGTACAGATGGAATCAGCTTTGACAGTCATCCTGGACTGGGATGGGCCCTGCATCAAATGTGGCCCTGTGTTTATGAGTATCTTTTTTTTTGTCTTTTGAGACAGGGTCTCCCTATAGCCTTAGCCAGCCTGGATCTCACATAGTGATCCACCTGTCTCTGCCTCCCGAGTGCTGGGATTAAAGGCATGTGCCACCATGCTTGGCAGTGTTTTTATTTTTTAAGATTTATTTTTAGGACTAGGCATGGTGGCCATGTGTTTAATTCCAGTATTTAGGAGGCAGAGGCAGGGGGATCTCTGTGAGATCCAGGCCAGCCTGGTCTACATAGTGAGTTCCAGGCCAGGCGGGGAGCTACAGGGAGACTCTATTTCAAAGAAACAAATAAAAAACAAAGAAAAACCCCCAACCCAAACAACAACAGAGTTATTTTTAGATACTCATCTGGGTGGGGGTATGTGTATATTTGGATGTTCTTGGAGGCTAGAGGGATTGGATCTTGTGGGTGTGAGCCGCCCAGTGTGGGTGCTGGAAACCAAACTCAGGCCCTCTGCAAGAGCAGCATGCATTCTTTTTAAAAAATATTTTATTAATTATTTTTATTTTATGTGTATGTGTGTATTACCTGCATATAGGTAAGTGCACCCGTGTCGTGTAATGCGGGCAGAGGACATAAGAGGCTGTCAGATTCCCTGGAACTGGAGTTACGGACAGTTGCTAGCTGCCATGTGGGTGCTGGGATTCGAACCTGAGTCTTCTGCAAGAACAGTGTTCTTAACTGCTTGATCCATCTCTCCAACCCTGCAGCATGCATTCTTAACCACTGAGACAGCGCTCCAGCCCCATCCATATGTCTTATCTCGGAGCAAGTTTTTCTCCTATAAAGGCACTCACTGGGTTGGAGAGATGTCTCAGAGGGTAAAAGTGTGTGCTGCTCTTCCAGAGGAACAGAGTTTTGCTCCCAGCACCCACCTCAGGTGGTTCCTGCTGTAACTTTAGCTCCAGGGGATCCGATATCTTTTCAGGCCTTCACAGACATGGACACATGTAGTGCGCACGCACACACACACACACGTCTAAAAAATACAGAGAAAAGACACATGGAAAGGAAGAGGTAGCCATGTGTGGGGGCTGGGACCACATCTACAAGCGGGGCCACATTTGGGGTGACCAGAAGCTGGAAGAGGCAGGAGGGCTCCTGCCCTGGGTCTTCAGAAGGTGAGGGCCCCTGCTGGCCCTGCCAACACCTTGACTTAAAGTTCTAGCCTTGGAACACTGAGAGAATAAATGCTAAGGTTTGAATAGCCTCAGGAAACCAAGCTACACATATGTAGGGAAATTTATCTTTAGAATGGACCAGAATCATGAAAGTGGTTACTCTTTGGCAAGGAGAATGCTGACCTCTGTCAGATTCTTGGGGTAGCAAAGCAGGGTCCTTAGTTCCGCTCTGCACTTTCTGTACTTTTCCAAGAAACAAACCTTTAGGAGAGAGGTCAGAGGCTGTGAGAGCACAGGGAAAGCTGTGAATCCTGGTGCCCGAAAACAGCCAACTGAAGGCAAGTTGACATGAGAAGCAAAGCATGTATGTCTTCCTAGGAAAAAGTGAATTTAGAAACCTCCCACTCATCAGTGGCTTTTGGTGGACAGCTCCTCTAGAGGCCTAGCTGAGCGGGTTACCAGGGCTGCAGAAGAGGTGGGAGAGTGAGAAAGAGACTGTCTGGAGGAAGTAGCAGTGTCAAACCCAGACTCAGCCCCATTCCAGGTAGGAATAGTGTTCTTAAGACAGAATGATGGAGAAGGGGCTTTCAACTGTGATGAACAGTTAGCATGTGATGAACACCCGCCCTGTGCAAAGGAACAGTCCACTCCAAATGAATTATTCCAGGTGGGTCTCTGTGAGCACCTAGACAATCCCAGACACAGGGCTAGTGAGATCTCAATCCCCCTTGTCCCAGCCATGGAGAAGGCAAGGTTGGCAGTGATTGGCAGTTGAAGAAACTTCACCTCTGCTCCCTGCAGGTCTTACCCAGGTATTCATCACATCCCAGGGCTTGCCTTAGTCTGTGGTAAGGAGGTCTCTGCTCTGCTAAGCCAGCTCACCTGCCCTTGAACCCCTGCCCTCCAAGCCTGGGTCTCACTTCCTAGTTCAATAGCAAATCAACACAGGTTAGAAAGGATCTTGAAATGCAACAGATCCTTGGGGGTTACTCCCCTGCGGGAAGGGGGTGGGCACTTCTTGCCACCTTGAGGCGTTGGTTTGTTTAGGAAGAATCTATCCATTTCTCTTCCTCAGCCTCTGGGGGCAGAAACTAAATCTCGGAGGTGGTCGTACTGACCACCTGGTCCTGCAAGTTGCAGAGGTGGCTTGAAGTCCACTGGGAGGACGAGGAAGACGAAGGGTGGCTAGCATGAGCCTGGGACTCAGAAGGAACGGCGTTTATTCACTGGTGAGCATTCCACACCCCAGAACGTTCCCCTGCACAGCATTGCCAAGCTGCGGCAGCAGGGTGCACCAGGTGATCAGGTTCCCGCCTCTGCGGAATCTCGCATAACCCAAGGGAGGCAGTCCTAGGCAGCGTCCCGTCTTTACTTGCTCAGAGCGGCTGCTCGGCTTTCCTTCGTGAGCCACACTGGAGGGTTTTGAACACTTTTCAAGGTGCTCTATCAAAGGAAGGAGACTTCGCCGGCCCTCACTGCAAATGTTTTCCCAGTTCTAAACGTTTACCGCCCTGCAAAAGTTCCGAAGTAAAAAGGCAAACCAACCTTAGGGACCCCCACCCTACCCCCGCGCACCCTCCTTCATCTTCCTCAGTCTTACAGGTTTTTGGTTTACCGCCCTGCAAAAGTTCCGAAGTAAAAGGCAAACCAACCTTAGGGACCTCCACCCTACCCCCGCGCACCCTCCTTCATCTTCCTCAGTCTTACAGGTTTTTTCCAGCCCGACAAACTTTGTAGGGCCAACCGTGTAGGCAACCTTCGTGCACCGAGGAGCGCTAGGCCGAGAAGCCGGGGAGACTTAAAGAGCGAAGCAGAGCCTGGGGTGGCGGGGGACCAGCACTAGCCACGGTCGCCAGCTCCGGGCCTCTCTGCACCCACACCCGGCTGTGGAGGAATGCGTGTAGCCAAAGGAAGGCGTTTCCGGAACGTTCACCGTTGGCCCGGAGCAGCCCTGGGCTCCAAGCTCCCACACGTTTCTCCAGTCACCTGCGGGTCACGCGGATTTCCAAGCCAGGGTGGGGTGGGGAGGGGTGAGGGGGGCAGCTGTGAGGCAGCTGTGATCAGGAAGCGGTTGGGGGTGCGGGAACCAAGTCCGAGGGGGCCTGACTTGGGCGGAGCTAGGGAAGGGGTGATTGGAGGAAGGAGAATGGGGGTCAGAGCCGGAGACAAGGGCACTTGGAGAAAGAGGAGGAATGAGACTCGGTGGGGGAGTGGAAGGGCAGGGTCCTGGGCTGGAGGAGGGGAAGGAGGCAGGGGCAAGGAGGGGTGGACGCAGGGGCGGGGTGGGGGCGGAGCCTGAGACCAAGTCGAGCCGGGGGTGGGTACTAGAGGAAGGATGGGGAACAGTCGGAAGGGGGTGGGCGTGGGGCTAGGGTAGGGGTGGGGAGAGGTTGTGGGGAGGAGAGACGGGGGTGTGACGGAGATAATAGGGGGACAGGGTAGGGGCTTACGGGACGAGGGAGGGAGTGGGACCTGGGACGGAGCGGAGATGAGGGGCTTGAAGGAGGAGGGAGAGGGAAGAATGGGGATGGGTGGGACTGGCGATGAAGAAGGGGCTAGGGAAGGGGCTTGGGGGAGGAGGGACGGGGTGTAACCGAGATGAACTGAGACTGAGAAAGGGACTTGGGGAGGGGTGTGGGAAGGGTGTGGGCGGGGCCGGGGCGGGCGGGGGCGTGGTGGTGGCACACCCCACGTGGGCGCAGGGCAGTGTCCACACTTCTGCGTAGCGCAGTCGCGCGCTTCCTCTTCTGCACTCCAGCGCGTCCCGCACGCAGGTCCCTTCGGGGCCACCAGAGTTAGGGGTCTCCGCAAGTCCGGGGTCCGCGCTGTCTGGCATCCCGGCCTCCTGAGGGACTATGCGGAAACCGGACGGGAAGATCGTGCTCCTGGGGGACATGAACGTAGGCAAGACGTCGCTGCTGCAGCGGTACATGGAGCGGCGCTTCCCAGACACGGTCAGCACGGTGGGCGGCGCCTTCTACCTGAAGCAGTGGCGCTCCTTCAACATCTCCATCTGGGACACCGCAGGTGAGGGCGGCGCAGCCAACCAGGCTGTCCTCGGGGCTCGGTGGGGACGAGGACCGGTTCCTGGGAAAACTCGGGGTTCCCACCTCCAGCTGTGGCCACCCTCGGCCCACTCTGCCCCCACTTGCCCTCTTTTGCTGATCGGGAACCTTCCAGTTAGGCCACTCTGTGAATCTTCTCGACGGTCCAGGTTATGCTAGCAAAGATCCTTGGCTCCAGGGGGCCTGGGTCACTGTAGTGCCCCTCCTTGGTGGAGCTGCTCGCTGAACCGCACTGCTGGGGCATCACTGTTGCTTTAGTGTATTGGTGTACCCTCCGGGACACCATTTTATTTGGTGAGCATTAGCAACCTTGAGGGTTGAGCTACATTACTACTATTAGCTCCTTTATAAAAGAGGAAAGGAGGCACAGAGCATTGGTTTGCGTCGCTGGATTTTAAGGAGCCTGGGAAATAGAACCGGAATCTCCTGGCCTCTGCTTCTCACAGTTTTATTTATCCACTGCTCCGTCTTGGCTGGTGTATATGTCATGTGGTTGGAATGACTTCCTGTACAGGCATTGTAAAGATAGGTAGTGAATTATATTTAGTGTGTGTACTGTTTGTGACTTTTCAGAAGTACAACTTAGACTTTACAAAACAGCGCAGATGATTATAGTGTTTTCCTCCTTTTCCATGATAAATAAGCAAAGAAATTGGAAACAGTATGGTATATTTCCAATGAGTGTGGTTTCGGATGTCTGAAACTTTTTTAACTTCTGACATCTTTTATGTTAGTATTTTAAAGAGTAACATACTCAGAGGTCTTGTTCTCAGTCCCTAAGTTGCTGTCTTGGGCCCACCATTCTGTTGAATAAGTGATGAATTATCTAATTAAAGCCTAGCTTGGGAATTTCTCCGTTGCCCTTAGCGGCTCCCCTGCTGCTTTCTGCAGTGACCCTTTGGTTGCCATAGTAGGGAAAGAACTGACTCCTGCTTGCCCTGTCTTTTCTGACTCTGGGCTTCACCCCAGTCCAGTACCGTCGATCTTTGCTGGGCTGTGTGCCTGCCTCCCACTGAGCACCCATGAATGCAATTTCTGAAAATCTAGACCAGCCTGTCCTGATACTCTCAGGTTTCTCTGGCTTAGACAGAGCTCCGCCTCTTTTCTCCTTTTCTTCACTGGCCTGCCCAGGGTGGCCCTTGGTTTATAAGGGGATTAAGCAGGATTGGCTGAGGCCAGCTTTTTTCCACACCTCTTGATGTTTCCGGAACAGACACAGACCTGGGGCAGGGTTTCTCTGTCCCTGGAGGGCATGAAGAAGCAGTTTCACTTTGACGGGTGAAGCTACTTTCTTCATCAAAACCTGGGACGTGATGCTTCCGGAATCTTGGTCACCAGAGGATTTTGTAACCCTGTGGATGGGATATGCTGGATATCTTGCTGGTTCCGTGGGTGGTGGCGGCAGCGACTCATTTCCTGGCTGGCTCGGCTGCTTTCGTGTTCTTGGAACCCGAAGTGTGAAGTCAGATGACTGTGGAGCAGTAGGGGTGGCCAGTCCCCTTCTCCACATTCCTAACCTCTTGTGTACACACGCTCAGGGTGACCAAGGTGCAGAGTCAACATGGCCCATGCCACCTCTGGGCCTGCTTAGTCAGTGACTTCTGAGCTGTGAGGCACTTACAGGGAGCAGAGACTTGAGAATGGTTACTGTGTTGGAAGTCTAACTTGCTTTTATCCTCCTCCTGTCTAGTTTAAAATTCTCTTCCATCCAGTTGTTTTTAGCATACCTTCTGTAACTGGAGCCAAACAAGAATTAGCTCAGGATGACCAGCTTGAAGCTGCTTTTGATGATAGCAGGTGAGGTGGGTCAAACACAGGTATGTATGTGGGGGCTTTGGGATGTAGGAATGATAGCATAGGGTCAGAGTTTCTGTTTGACTCTTGGTGTGTCCACCCAAAGACAAGGTACAGTGTTTGATTGGCTGTAGCTTGCAGGACAGGGTGGTAGGTAGGGTTAGGGATGGAAGAAGGGGCCTGCTGACTCAATAGGTGCCTTATTTTATTCACTTGCAGATTCCTTCGAGGTAGGAATGACTGATAGCAGTTGAATGGGGGTATAGACCTTGTCTGTCTGGGTCCAGCCATCCCCTCCCCCAACATTGTGCTCTGCTCACTCACAGCCCTTTTCCAAAATGGTTGGGGAGACAGATGGGGGCCCTTACTGTGGAATGGTCAGACCAGGACACAAAGCTGGGATAGTCAGAGCAGCCAACAGGGTGGTGACCTTGCCCATCATTAGCCCATCATTAGGGAATAGATGCTAAACACCAGCCATGTGGTACGCGCTGCTTCCAGCTCAGACTTGTGTACAGCAGTGGACTGAACAGGTAAACTTCATTGCTGGTCTTTGGACTTCAGATTCCAGAGGAGGGGAAAGGCAAGCCAGAAGACTCATGAGTTTTCCACTGATCTTTGATTTGTTTTGAAGGAAAAATAGCAGTACAATGAGAAAGTGATGAGTGTGCCAGCACGGACTGCTGTGAGGCCCTCTACCAGGTCCTGCTGCAGCCTCTTGACTCACACTTGGCCCTCTGCCTCCTATGCCTGCCTTTGGAGTTGAGTCTGGGGAAGCAGCTCAGAGTCTGAGCACAGACCCAGGTCCCTAAGCCTCCATCCCTACTCAGCCACTGTGTCAGCTCCCTTGTGGTGATAGTACTGCTTCTGTGAGTTGGGGATCTTGGGATGGAGCAAATGGTTTTGGCTATGAGAGGGATCGATGCAGATGTATGGCAAGTATATGAGTGTTTGAGTCAGGATGCTCATACGTCCTTCAAAGAACCCTCTGTCAACCAGATGGTCTGACCTTTTGGTCCTTTTGGTGTGCTAGCCGAAGGTTGTCCTGCACACCCATGGAACCAAGGGTACAGCAGGCTTTCATGACAGGCTCTGAGACTGAACACTCCCTGTGGTCTAGGTAACTGGGAAAGCCCCTCACTATCACGTCTCACTCTAGCCTGATGATAGCACCTCCCTGCCTGTCTCTCTTTTCCCCACTTAATACCCCCAGCAGGAAGAGGCAGACCACGCCTCCAGCATTTACTAGGAAGGCGTCTCAGTTTTAGAATGTTCCTCAGCTTTGTCACCTGTGGGCTTTGCTTCCCATACAGGTGCAGGCACAACTCTGCGAGCTCTCTGACACCATGCCCCCTTTCCTCCAGGTTCCTGTAACACACTCCTTTTCAAGAAGCTTTCACCAGTCATGCCTGTGGCATTGTCTTTTATCCCTTTCATACAGCTTAGGGTTCCTTCTCTCCACCCCCCCACCCCCATTTCCACTGACAGTCAGTCTAGGCAGTTCAAGCATGCTCCTGGCTTCTGCTGCACTTCAGGGCTACTTCCTGTGCATTATGGCATCATCATCCCGGAGTCCCAAGTGGGTCTCACCTGGGCTCTGGTTCAAATGCCAGCAGGATCTACTTACTTCTTCAGTTCCTGGTACCTGCTGGGGCTCCTGACTCTCTCGTCCCCTATCCTCAAAATCAGCTATGGCCTGTTGAGTCTCCTTCCCATGGAGCCCTTCTGTCATGTTTAAAGCATTCTGAGACTAAGGGTCCCATTCTGCAGGATAGCTCCTTGTTTTGAGGTTGGCTGGATAGCAGTCTTCATTTCACCTGCACCCTCTACCTCTTCTTTGTAAAACTGCTCAGGTGGGCTGCAGGCAGGGACAGGAGCCACCTCCCACCCCCAACCCCCAACCCCCATCCAGCTTCAGCTCACCTCCATGGGAGGCAGAAATGGAGGCTATGGTTGTATTTCTCCCTTTGTTATGGTGTGTCTTCTGGCAAATGCTGTCATAGCTCTTTGGAATTTAGGCTGTGAACACTAAGGAGTGAAGCGTGGACACCTTTTGCACCTTAGTAAAGACTGTTTTGAAGCACAGGTAATTTCCTCAGAACATGAAGCTTTTATAGCTTAGGAGTCCTGTAGCTGCCAGGAAGGGCATCCTGACTCATACACTCAGAGAACTTTGTACTTAGTCACTGTCGCAGACAGAAATGGAATTCACATATTACAAGAAATGAAGAAGTTGAGGTATGTTTGCTTGTTGGGGAACCCTGCTGTTAAGGTCAACTCCTTTCTCAGCAGGGGCTTCCTGCCTGACTTATTTGGAAAGTGCCTCCAAGCACAGGTGCCTGGCCTTATTTGGAACATGACCTTTGGCATAGTTAACTGCAATAAAACTGCCCCCAGGTTTTTTCTATATGATAATTAGTCATTACCCTATAGCCAGATGATAGGATCCCCCTACCACATGTAAATAAAGCATACTATGAGCACCTAATTTTCCCTGACCCTCACTGAATAAACGGAGCTGTTTCACTGAGTCTGGAGCTGTATCCCTGAATATGACTCCCCAGAAGATCTTTTCCGTCGTGCTCACTGGCTGTTCTGACCCTGTTCGTCGCTTCTGCTCCCTTTATTCTCGTGGGTCAGTGGCCAGTGGCCCACGAGGGGAGGGAGAGACCCACATTTGCTTTTCCCTTTAGTTTTGAAAATTAGAAGTGCACTTGCCATGTGTGTTTTGTGGAATGCTCAGTGACTGTTAGAATTTGAAAAAAAAAATACTATTATGTTTATGTGTATGATGTGTATCAGCTCAGGCCCCTGTGTGCCATGGCAAGTGTGTGGAGGTCAAAGGACAACTTTGTGGAGTCGGTTCTGCCCTTCCACTCCACGTGGACTCTGGGGACTGAACACAGGTCACTAGCCTTGAATAGCAAGTGCTTTTACTACTCTGAGCCATCTTGCCAGGCCCAAATTATTAGAATTTTGTTTTTAAACTCCTGAGACCTAGAAACTTTCCTAGTGGGCATTTTCTTGAAAAACTTCTGCCCTGGGTGGAATTAAATTAGAAAATATGAAACACAGGTCCTTCGGGCTTTTATGTAATTCTCAAGCATTTTGGATCAGAGAGCTGAGCCATGGTGTTTCCTAGTTTCTGATTTTAACTTGTATTATTTA